AAAATGCATGACTTTACAATTTGTCTGTTGGGATAGCCGTGTCACGTGGCACAGAATTTTTTTCAGTAGAGATGGATTTTTTTGGTTGGACTGGACATATAGTAACAAGTTCGTCGATTTTGAAACTGGCTGGTATTCTTGTTTGTATTTTTGCGCCTCATGCAACAAAGTCTTTTTCACGCAGGCTCCTGTTCACGAGAGTATCCATCCAAACATCAATGTGTGGAGAAAAAGAATCAAATTGAATTTGCATTTTAAGCTTTTATTTCAGAATTCCTTTTTGTACACTAATTCTGGGTAATCTTCGCAAAAATAATTTTTTAAAAAAGCTTTGAACAGCCCGCCGGCCCTGGCTTCTAAAATCTCTACCCGTTTTCAGACCTGGCCTCGTGTTTACATAGGCAGAAATTATATCATCTTTAATTAGAATAGATCAGGAACGCCACTGAAAATAGATTTCTTAAAATTCATTTCGAATTCGCCAATTAATCTTTCCTTCTTACTCATTTTGAATTCAAACGACAAATACCTTTCCACACTTCCATACCCGATTCCTGACCAATTTGGGCAAAATCTATACCGGCCAACTGTTTTTGGACCGATATGACGCAAAAACCGTACCCTTTGGGGCAGCAAACACGATATGGATTATTCCCGTACCTCCAACCCCGCCTCCACCCCGAGGGGGGGGGGGGGGGGGGTTTGCCAAAGGTACGCATTTCGTTCATTTTCAAAAAGACATGAGTGTAGGTTTTGAAATATTCCGAATGCACCAATCAGTCTCTTCAGGGTTGTATTAAATGTGGCAGGAAAATCGGCCTCAGTGTGAATTTCACTTATAATTAATTATTTTCAGGGTCAATCTGTTTTTTTGAGAAGCCGGCAAACTTTGATTGATTTAGTCAACGATGCCTGCGTTCCAAGTTGCCAACAAAACTGTTACTTTTCTAGGACCCAATAAACATTTCTAGACAAGTTGTGAAATTCGCTCTTAGACTTCTAACATTAACGATTGAATTAACTTGCATGCATTTCGAAATTTCGTCGACCGCTTTTGAGCTGGGAAAGTACTCAATCCCACGGAAGGACAGCACTGGAAAGTTTGCGCAAGAATCACAGGCAGAATTCCGGGGTTTCTGATTACAAATTTAAAACCCCCTTTTCCCACCGAAATGTTCGTTCTTCCTTTCAACAAGTCACTAAAATGCTTGCTTTTGTTATTGATTCTAAACGTTTTAACAGCTAGGGTTTTAACGCTAACGCAAACCATACAATTGGCAAATTTAGCAACGAATTCTTAAAATCACCCTCTTAACGGTTCACTACGGGCCTCAGCGCTCCGGAAGTTAAAAAATTCGTACCGTCTGGTTGCTATGAAGTGACGTAATCATCCAGTTGAGTATCCATCACCGTAACACTTTTGCGGTCAACTACCGCAGCGCTCGTAAAGTACTTTAATTAAAACCGTGTTCAAAACCCTGTAGGAAGTCTGTTTATTTTTGAGTCGATTAATGCACTGCTGACTTTCACGAGGTCAACTTTTGCATAAATTATCAAACATTATGTTAAGCGGGAAATCTACCTATGGTTCGCGGGAGAAGCAACTTCTATAGCGGCGCAAGACAAATGTTTCGAGAGTCGAGAATGTGCTCACAAACTATTCATGATCACTATGCGACGAAAGGAGAAATCACTGGCATGATAGCTGCATGTAAAAGTAATTTTATCAATCCAGGTCGCGCCGTGTTCGCTCGAGAACGCTGTGACAACCTCGTTTGGCGCGCTTCTCAATACTTCCAAAACATGTTGTAATCGGTAAGTAGACTTAAGCACTTAGTATCGCCAAGCCATTCGAATCAGTGTATACCCAATTCTTTGTCTGAAGATTCTCGCAAACACATATACCAAGTAAATCTGGATGGAAGAGGAAATTGTCTCCCTAAACGCAGCCAGATTATATTTTGAAGGATGGCGGCACAATTCAACGCGTCTTCCAGGTCAGCCCTAATTTATAGTTCGTAAGAGTATAAATTGCGATCTCCCTATTAAGCTTTCTTTGATAAAACTTCAGTAGAAACAAAACAACGCAGACATGACATTCTCCTGCATGAGACACAATCGGCTGAAGGAAATATCTGTTTACAAGTCAGGTAAATTATCCATTCTTGCGCACCGCAAAATCAGCTAAAATCATGAGCGCTTCTAAGAATACCACGTTTAGAACTTCGACGCGTAGGAAAAAAAGGCTATTGTTCTATATCCTTTCTGGTTCATCCAGGTAGAAGTCCTGCCATGATATAATTATGCCTGAGCGCTTCTAGGATATATAACACTAGCATTTCGACCCGTAGCCGTAAAAAAAAATTAAGGCAGTTGTTCTATATCCTTTCTGGTTCACCCAGGTAGAAGTCCTGGCATGATGTTATTATGCCTGAGCGCTTCTAGGATATATAACACGTTTAGCATTTCGATCCGTAGCCGAAAAAAAAAATTTAGGCAGTTGTTCTATATCCTTTCTGGTTCACCCAGGTAGAAGTCCTGGCATGATGTTATTATGCCTGAGCGCTTCTAGGATATATAACACGTTTAGCATTTTGACCCGTAGCCGTAAAAAAAAATTTAGGCAGTTGTTCTATATCCTTTCTGGTTCACCCAGGTATAAGTCCTGGCATGATGTTATTATGCCTGAGCGCTTCTAGGATATATAACACGTTTAGCATTTTGACCCGTAGCCGTAAAAAAAAAATTAGGCAGTTGTTCTATATCCTTTCTGGTTCACCCAGGTAGAAGTCCTGGCATGATGTTATTATGCCTGAGCGCTTCTAGGATATATAACACGTTTAGCATTTTGACCCGTAGCCGTAAAAAAAAATTTAGGCAGTTGTTCTATATCCTTTCTGGTTCACCCAGGTAGAAGTCCTGGCATGATGTTATTATGCCTGAGCGCTTCTGGGATATATAACACGTTTAGCGTTTCGATCCGTAGCCGAAAAAAAGAAAGTAGGCTGTTGTTCTATATCCTTTCTGGTTCACCCAGGTAGAAGTCCTGGCATGATGTTATTATGCCTGAGCGCTTCTAGGATATATAACACGTTTAGCATTTCGATCCGTAGCCGAAAAAAAAAATTTAGGCAGTTGTTCTATATCCTTTCTGGTTCACCCAGGTAGAAGTCCTGGCATGATGTTATTATGCCTGAGCGCTTTTAGGATATATAACACGTTTAGCATTTTGACCCGTAGCCGTAAAAAAAAAATTAGGCAGTTGTTCTATATCCTTTCTGGTTCACCCAGGTAGAAGTCCTGGCATGATGTTATTATGCCTGAGCGCTTTTAGGATATATAACACGTTTAGCATTTCGACCCGCAGCCGTAAAAAAAAATTTAGGCAGTTGTTCTATATCCTTTCTGGTTCACCCAGGTAGAAGTCCTGGCATGATGTTATTATGCCTGAGCGCTTCTGGAATATATAACACGTTTAGCGTTTCGACCCGTAGCCGAAAAAAAGAAAGTAGGCTGTTGTTCTATATCCTTTCTGGTTCACCCAGGTAGAAGTCCTAGCATGATGTTATTATGCCTGAGCGCTTCTAGGATATATAACACGTTTAGCATTTCGATCCGTAGCCGAAAAAAAGAAATTAGGCTGTTGTTCTATATCCTTTCTGGTTCACCCAGGTAGAAGTCCTGGCATGATGTTATTATGCCTGAGCGCTTCTAGGATATATAACACGTTTAGCATTTCGATCCGTAGCCGAAAAAAAGAAATTAGGCTGTTGTTCTATATCCTTTCTGGTTCACCCAGGTAGAAGTCCTGGCATGATGTTATTATGCCTGAGCGCTTTTAGGATATATAACACGTTTAGCATTTCGATCCGTAGCCGAAAAAAAGAAATTAGGCTGTTGTTCTATATCCTTTCTGGTTCACCCAGGTAGAAGTCCTGGCATTATGTTATTATGCCTGAGCGCTTCTAGGATATATAACACGTTTAGCATTTTGACCCGTAGCCGTAAAAAAAAATTTAGGCAGTTGTTCTATATCCTTTCTGGTTCACCCAGGTAGAAGTCCTGGCATGATGTTATTATGCCTGAGCGCTTCTGGGATATATAACACGTTTAGCGTTTCGACCCGTAGCCGAAAAAAAGAAATTAGGCTGTTGTTCTATATCCTTTCTGGTTCACCCAGGTAGAAGTCCTGGCATGATGTTATTATGCCTGAGCGCTTCTAGGATATATAACACGTTTAGCATTTCGATCCGTAGCCGAAAAAAAAAATTTAGGCAGTTGTTCTATATCCTTTCTGGTTCACCCAGGTAGAAGTCCTGGCATGATGTTATTATGCCTGAGCGCTTCTAGGATATATAACACGTTTAGCATTTTGACCCGTAGCCGTAAAAAAAAAATTAGGCAGTTGTTCTATATCCTTTCTGGTTCACCCAGGTAGAAGTCCTGGCATGATGTTATTATGCCTGAGCGCTTCTAGGATATATAACACGTTTAGCATTTCGACCCGCAGCCGTAAAAAAAGATTTAGGCAGTTGTTCTATATCCTTTCTGGTTCACCCAGGTAGAAGTCCTGGCATGATGTTATTATGCCTGAGCGCTTCTGGAATATATAACACGTTTAGCGTTTCGACCCGTAGCCGAAAAAAAGAAAGTAGGCTGTTGTTCTATATCCTTTCTGGTTCACCCAGGTAGAAGTCCTAGCATGATGTTATTATGCCTGAGCGCTTCTAGGATATATAACACGTTTAGCATTTCGATCCGTAGCCGAAAAAAAGAAATTAGGCTGTTGTTCTATATCCTTTCTGGTTCACCCAGGTAGAAGTCCTAGCATGATGTTATTATGCCTGAGCCAACCTCGTCCCCAGGGCGCTTTTCCCTGGCTTTGGGGGCGGGGCGGGAAAAGGCCCTGGCATCGGCCGGTCACATGACCACCAAACACCCAGTATTTGTGGGTGTAATAAATTAGCATTGAAATTAGCATACGATCGCATACGATAAACATGGCCGGTAGACCAAAGTTTTTATCAGTGCTTCGCCGGGTCGGTTTTTCCCTGAGTAACGGTAACTTTCCATCGCTTAATTTTAAACCTCTGCAAGTCAAGTGTTTCGAATCTATACTGCAAGGCCAGGATGTCATTGGAGTCTTACCAACTGGATTTGGCAAGTCGATGCTATTTCACCTTCTGCCCCATTTCATTCCTGTGAAGAAAACCAAGAATATAGTTATTGTGGTATGTCCTTTGAATTCCATCATCGAGGACCAGCTGAAAGTTTTAAAAGCTCGGGGGATAACTGCTGATGTCTTACAGCTTGCTGTAAACATGAACGAACCGGCCGAGAACTTATTTGAAAAGGAGCAAGAATCCAGTGAACACGTGGCCAAGGAATCCCCAAAGCTTCCTCCAGACGTAGTAAATGGCAACACGTCCATTGTATTTGCCCATCCAGAGGCTCTGTTAAGTAAGGAAGGACGAGAGTTAATGGGGAGCAAAATTTTCCAAGAGAATGTTGTTGCTTGTGTTGTTGATGAGGCTCACTGTGTAGAATTATGGTAAGTGCGTGAAATGATGTTTACTATAATACTTGTTTTGAGCGCTTGTCTTGAAAAACAAGAGATTATCGCTGCAACGAGCGGTATTTACGGTGCGACTAGAATTTCACACAAATCTGCTCTATACCTTGCTTATAGACCGTGGCAAATGTTACCCTAGAATGTGAACTACAGCTGACTACAGACCTTGTCACCTTTTTAACATGAAGCCGCGCGTGAGAAATTACAGTCTTCGTATGAGAATCTAATGTCGAATAATCTCCGTAAAACGGCTGTTCGGAAAAAAAAAATATGAGCTGTAAACGAAAGCGTCACTCCAAAGGATGCTACTGAAAAAAATTGAGGGCATTACATGCAGCTACATGCTCTTGATGAACCACTTGCAATGCATGTATTAATCTTTATTGATAGTCGAAATAAATCCACACTTCCCCTGTTATCAATTAAGCTTATACATGTATTACTGTCCTTGAAATGCTCACAAGCAAAGAACGAGCGTGGTTAGATCCATGCATAACCTAAAGAATGGGGCTGTGTAGAAATATTGCCATTGTAATGTCACACATGTAGTAGCCCAAAAAATCAAATGCGTTTATTTAGTGCTATATTACTTGAACATCATCCATAGTCTCCATGCTTTTACAACTGAATCATAATTTATGAAATACAAAACATACTACCAAAAAATGCCTACTATAAAAGAAAATTTGTGTTTATTACTGGGCTTGTTTTTTAACTTTAATGTAAGTTAACAACTCAGGGTTTTCTTGTCTTTTTCATTCAGGGGTGAAGAATTTAGGAAAGATTTCAAAGACCTTTCAGTGTTGAAGGCATTCTTTCCAACTGTACCAACACTGGCTCTGACAGCGACTGCACCGCCTCATTTATTGAAAGACTTAAAGCAAAGTCTGCGTCTAAAAAGTGATTGTAAAATTGTTGCACGAAACCCTAATCGTGTGAACATATACTTAGACAAGAAAGTGAGACTGAGCAATCACTATGGAAATGAAAGTTATGACCACATCCTAGAACCCATAGCAAATGAACTAGCAGTTCAAAGGGAGAACTACCCAATGACAATCATCTACTTAAAGCTGAAATACTGTGGTTATGCTTATGGGTTATTTGAAAGAATATTAATTAAAGACAGGCAGTACGTTGGAGATACATCAGAACCCACTGCAAGACTGTTTGCGCAGTTTCATGCCCCCCAAACAAGTCGCATGAAGAAGGACATTATTTCTGAAATAAAGAAAGAAAACTCAAGGGTAAGGGTGCTATTTGCAACTTCAGCACTTGGCATGGGAGTTGATGCTCCTTATGTAATCAATGTCATCCACATATCACCACCGAGTAGCCTTGAAGCCTACATGCAAGAGATTGGTCGTGCTGGTCGCACAGGACTTTCCTCACGTGCCACACTTTACTACAACAACTCTGACATTGGAAAGAATAAAAAACATGTGGAAGAATCAGTGAAATCTTACTGTAGATCAGAGGACTCCTGTCTGAGAAAACAACTTCTTGAGTACTTTGGTTTCTCCAGTGTTCAGCAAGATAAGTGTTGCTGCATATGTGATGGGAAGAACAAACAAACAGTAGAGGATCTACCCCAAACTGCTAGAAACAAGGTCAGATCACTGTCTAACGAGAACCGCATTATACTTGAAAGATCAATCAAGAGTGTTATTGCAGAGCACGAGTCCCCAGCAACATCAGATTGTATCATGCTATTTGAAATTTCTGTACATAAGAATGTTGCTGCAAAAGTCATTGAGGGTGTGGAATTTATTGAATCGGAAAGAGATCTGTTGATCAATTTTGGCATATGGGATGAGGCTTGTTCCTCTAAGATCTTTTCCCTTATATGCGAGCACACTTCTCTGTGTACAACTCTAATGAACTCTGATGATGGTAAGAACATATCAACATAAACTTGGAAAACAGAACTGCTGTATATATGTCTTGAACATTAGAAAGAGTCAGTCTTTACATAATCTACATTATCAACTGTCAGTTCCCATTTAATACCGATCAGTTTGATATACCTATCATGTCATTATCATTACCTATTAATTCCATTATTTTTTTGCTTTTGAGGTCGCCACTTTCGGGAGGTTGTTATTTTCAGGGGTGGGGGCCTACTTTCGGGATTTGCTAACAACCTTGATTTTTTCAGAGGGTCATTACTTTTGAAACTTTATGGTATGTTCTTAAAAATATAAACATTAGTAGTGATAAGGTTTTAAGTTTGTTGATAATGTCAATTATTCAAAGACTGAATCTTTCAAATTGATATTCAAAACAATAACAAATAAAAAGTTTCTCATAATACAAAATGTGTAGTTTTCACATTTGTCGCGAATTAATTAATTTTGTACAGTACACCCTTTAGCTGCCCAAAAGACGCGACTCTCCAAAAGTAGCAATAGGAAAAAAGGCTGCTAAATCTGAAAGTGACGAGAGTTATTACTTTCGGAACTTTATGGTAACAATTTTATTGTAAGTACTGCAGCTATACATACATGTATATTTTGGTTCACATACCAGAAGTACACTATGGATGTAAATATCTCTATAGTAATGATAATCAGTTTATTCACCATTGTTACTTGAGAAGCTTCATGAAGATCTGGCGGTCACATGTTACTATGTTTTATTACTGTTGTACCTGAATATTGTCTCTTCTGATTACCTGCCATAAAACCATTGTCTTAGCTGTAGTTCAGTAACTTACTATTCATGAAGTAACTAAAAAATTAAGGTCTGAGAGATGCTAATAAATCATTACTATTTGTATTTTGCTGACATAAAAAAATATATTGAACTACTACTACTAGTGATAATAAATTTTGCTGACTCCAGTGATCCACTGGTCATTGATCAACCCAGCCCTTAGTTGACATCAATAGACCTTTTTACTGATGTCACCAATAAGCAAGCACTTGCCCTCTGACATTCATTGCTTTGTAAATATTGGCAACTCTAAACACTCATATTTCCGAGAGCTTGCAACGGATTTTTATGAAACTTTGCATTTATTAACAAATTCAATAATATTATGACAAATTCATATTCAAGCATTCAAAATTGCAATTTTTAGAGACGTCAGTAAAAAGGTATATCGTCTTAGAACCTTTCACTCCCAAGATGTCAAGGTGAATCCTTTAAGTCCCAATAGTGACCAAAATCAATTTTCTCCTAACGATATCCATTCATTGTCGAGACTACATTATGAGAATGGATAAAATGATCACCAAAGGGAAAATGCTTTGATCTTTTATCAAATTCTCTTAACTCATTCTGTAAGAAATGTATAGAGATCAGTCTTGAGAATTCGTATGTGGATATTAAGGCTAAAGGGTTAATATAATAATACTATTCCAACTGATTACATGTACCATACATGTATATTTTCTTTGTTGATTACTCTTGAGAATTTCATGTAACATCAAAACACCGCACACGTAAATTATTGATGATTTTCTAAACTCTCATTACCTTTCTACATGACTGTGTTAAAATTGTAATAAGAATTCACATGCAGGTCAATAGTGGAAGTGAGAGGGTTAAGCTGCTAATTCTCTCATGTGTTTATCCAGCCACTCATGAAATTCAACAATGTTCAAGTACTTTAGGGGAGACCTTTTAATTTCAGGGAAGCTGTCATGACATCTCGCAGACATGTAATGGAAAGGATTCAACTGCAGTAGGTCCTGTACCATTTCCTTCTCATCTTGAAGTGAGTCTCGTGTAGTATGTTCTACAGATGTCTTGTGAATGCCAACTGATGAGTCAAATTCCTGTACGATTTGATAGATGCCAGTAGTGGCTTTGCAGACCTTGCTAATAGAGTTCAGAGTTTTGTTTGGTCCCTGCCTCTGGACAATACTTTTACTGCATCGGTTTGAAATTTCTTGGGCCAAATCGTCTTGATATTTCTTCCAAAGCCACCCCTCCAGTTTACAAAAAATCCCCATTTGAACTGTTCAGATAGGCGTGGAGTTAATAAACACTCAATCTGGGCTATACTCACAAACATTTCAATTGCATATTTGCTGTATGCCCCCATAGACTTGAAAACTGAGAGCAAGAGTTTTTGATTGATGAGATTTCTGTTGCCATCTCCCTCTGCTGCAGTGTCCTTCATCTGCATGACAAGAACAGCCAGGAAAATACAGCAAAGGGCATAATTCATTACATAATCATCATTGTAAAAATCATTGGCATTTACTTTCTGTAACAGGAACTTGTCAATAAACTTTCCAAAGGCATCATCAAAGTATTTCTTCTTGTTTTCTGTGGTCTCGCGTGCAATGTTTTGTGGAAATTTATGTAATGATGGTGTATCCTCAAGGTCTGACATCCCAAAAAAGTTCAGCACAGCTGTTATTATGTAAGCTTTACCTACACTGAGGAACAGCTCTTCACTTCCTTCATAGGAGTCAAGAACTTTGGAAGGGGTAGCATTCCTTCTATTGTACTTCTCCCTGAAGTACTTCAAGGTACCAATTTGATTTACTGACTCTGCTTTGTGCAGAAATGAGTACGTGTACTGTAGAAGAGAAGCTTTGGTATGCCACATCACAGGTTTAAATGGAGAGCAATGTTCAAAACGATCGGATGCTGTGTGAACCTGACAGCAAATCTTTGGCTCCAGCAAATCTCACTCGGGTTAGCTGATCGCCAGCAAAAGGAATCTTCATTTCCCTCATTGGGTCATCGTTGGTGTCTTGTCTGTGTGCATTTGTCTGGCCAGGTGCTGCAGGTCCTTCAGGAACTGGTGGATTGTCAGTGTGTGGTATTTCATCTAGCAGCCCAGCCTGAACATAGATTTCAGCAATCCACTTTTCATAAGTTCTTAAAATGTTAACACAATCATCATACTTTGATTCATTTGCATTGATTATTGGCAAACTAACTATGGTAGACTTCTGTGCCATTTGTAGACTGTACTCATGAGAAATGTGATTGGGGATAACTGCTCTCAAGAACTTAAATTTGGGACAGAACTCAAGAACAATTCGTCCAACAATAATTTTGGCACATTCTGCATATGTCTTCCATTCATTTACATTTAAGGAAAAATTATGTCGACGGAAATCTTTAATATCTCCTCTGGGGTTGTCATTGGGTAAGTGGTTGAAGTTGATTCTGTTTTCAATTAGGTTACTGGCAAACAAGTGCAGATCCTCATTCTGGACTTCCTTTCTCATATGGCCTTTCAAAATTTTCAAATCCCAGTTGTCACCAGTACCTCGGAACACACTTCCTTTCTTTATTTTTGTCACTACTATGTCTGAGAAGTGGCCTCCTAACAGCTTCAGAAGGGTATCTCTTCTCCCAGATGACAGGCATACACCAAGTTTATTTAGTCGTTCTTGGAGCTATTTAAAGGGAGACAGAATTTAAAAACAAATTTCAATATCCACAGAGCAGTTCTCTTTTCTAGGCTTCATTATAAGGATGGATCTTTCAAATAGAAACTGAATCACAAACTACTACACAACAATAACAAGCTCTATAAAAAGTGTGAATTTCCGATAGCAACCAATCCATGATTTAAATGGCAAAATATAAATACTGCTGTGTGGGTAAGAGGAAATATTAGTTCAGGAATCAACCACAAGGGGGTTACTCGCCTATGTAAGCTATATAGGTATGTGCTGCCCATCAGGTAGGGTTTGGTCCGAAGACGGGTATACACTTTGCCCATTTTGGCTGAGATCAGGTATGGTTTTTGAGCGAACTATGGGAGTGTATGAACGTATTTATCGTTTCAATTCAAAATGAGTAACAGAGATAGGCAAATTGGAAGTGGATTTGAAGAATTTTTTGTTCACGCTCTATACTAAGTAATGATAACATAATTTCTGCCTAACGGCTAGGTCTGAAAATGGGTATGGATTTTAGAAGTCTGGTGTGAAAACAGGTGTGGAAAATCACATTTTTGGGTCTGAAATAGGGTCAGGATTTGGAGAACCAGGCAGCACATCCCAATCAGTACCCCCTTGGGGAAATCAACCAATGTTTGATGTTTTACATTTCAGTAAGCTGAAATACCTGTTTGGTACATCCACCCTCGATGATGAGAACTGTGTTCACGCGCTTCACTAGGTTGAGTTCATGCCATCTCTCGCTCATAAGGATGGAGTATAAAAACTGTACTTGACTTGAAGCTCGAGTTTTTTTTCTACGACAGAGTTCTCTTTGCCTGACACTGCGTTCATAATCTCTATAAGAAAAGGGTGGTTCGTCTTCAATTCAACCCATACTTTATTGAAATCAAAGTTTTCAATGCTCTCGTAGTCATTTCCATATAGAACTGAACCTTGCGAACGCTTGCACAGCTTTGCACATGATGTCTTCAATTCCTCCTCGAAGGCCTTTCTTAACTCCTGTAAAACACTTGGACAGTGGTCTTTCAAAATAGCCGCCAATACAGTTGCATCCTTATGGCTGACCGCTTGCACAATCATTTTCTGCTGTCTCTCATCCAAAAACGGTTGAGCTTCAAATGTACAATTACTAGATCCTGTTGATTTTGGCATTAAAACTGCAGTTGTAGCTGGCCGAGTCGGGAAAGCTGGCTGCTCTGCAGAACTTGATGTGGTTTGTACCAACGGCTGATCCGCAGACGTACTCATAAAAGCAAGCTCATCTCCTGTTGATCTGGGTGTCAGAAAAGTAGCATCTTGCGGAGTTGACAGAGACAGCTCCTCTGCAGAATTTGATGTAGTTCGTTTGGGATGCTTCGCAGAAGTGGTTGTACATGTGGAATTATCTGCCGTCGTGGCTGGCGGAGATGAGAAGGAAAGCTGTTTTGCAGATCTACCTGATGTGATTCGCTTCGACGGCTGATCCACATTGGAGCTTTCGGGTGGCATATCCTTCGATAAACGCTTCGAAGGCTGATGCGAAGACGGCGAAAGTTGAACGCATCGCTTTACAGAATATTCTGTGTTTACTGGATCAGACGGCGTATTGTCTAGAGATTGGGCCCTTTGAATGAACTGATCCATTTTCTCTACGAACGCAACGCAAGTCCTACACACCACTGTTGACCTAGCTGACCTCGTATCGTCCTCAGAAATTTTGATCCCACACGTTTTTTTAACCTTCGAACACAGATCTTTAGTTGAACCGGCCTTGCTGAATATCCGTAGCATATAGCGACTCTCATAGGAACCACCACATAGCCTGCAAACTGGATTTCTTGCAGAAATCTTCGTTGGAGTGGAAATACTTTCCGCCATTTCGATTTCGGTATAATGCATAAATTATTTTTATTTGGTCATTTTCTTACATAAATTACCTAAATCAATCAACCAATCAAAATGACGGATCGACCGGCCGATGCCAGGGCCTTTTCCCGCCCCGCCCCCAAAGCCAGGGAAAAGCGCCCTGGGGACGAGGTTGTGCCTGAGCGCTTCTAGGATATATAACACGTTTAGCATTTCGATCCGTAGCCGAAAAAAAGAAATTAGGCTGTTGTTCTATATCCTTTCTGGTTCACCCAGGTAGAAGTCCTGGCATGATGTTATTATGCCTGAGCGCTTTTAGGATATATAACACGTTTAGCATTCGATCCGTAGCCGAAAAAAAGAAATTAGGCTGTTGTTCTATATCCTTTCTGGTTCATCCAGGTAGAAGTCCTGGCATGATGTTATTATGCCTGAGCGCTTCTAGGATATATAACACGTTGGCAATGAAATCGACCCGCAGACTTTAAAATGTTCTGTTTAGAAGGCACTGAATTATTTTTTCCGCACATTTTGTTTGATACCGCATTTTTAATTAATTTTATTTGTCGCCCCAGGATGATGACATGATTGCGTGAAAATTGACGCCTCTATCATATTAGATGCGAAATACGATCAGAGATTAAGGGAATAGGGAATGTTGCAAGCTACTGGGTATCCAGCTGAGATACCTGACTTTTACTCAGCTATCTCAGCTGGATACTGAGGGGTTTTTTTGGTTGCTAAGACCGTGCAGCTCGTTATGTATTTGGGTGGCATTCGAATTTTTTGAATTTCGAGTTTAAGTCCTCAGTATTCTTATTAGTTTTTTTCTAATTTCTGTTAATTCTCTGAACAAAAATTAATTTTCCGGAAAAATGCTACTTTAATGCTGGAAAAATGCTTAATACTTTCGTTTCTTTAAAATGGTCGAAAAAATGCTAATGTCACCCAAATACAGACGTTTAGAGGATTATTTTTATATGTATTCGTTGCTAATATGCCAATTGTATGTTTTTCGTCACAACTACGTACAGCCTGGTCACTGGGGAACAATGAACTTGATCGCTAACTAATAACAACCCAGAAGAAAAGCATTGATTACCATGATATGTTTTAAGCAGCGAAGTTAGTAGTGCCCCTATTTAAGTTCCTGTTGTTTCTTTTAAGCCTTTCAACTTTTTTTACGTAGGCACTAACTTAGTTACTTGTTTGGCAAAAAAGGGAGAGAGAGAAGAAAAAAATTAACGTCAGGCTTTTTCGTTCTTTAAACTCTTTATTCACTTTCGTTGCAAAAAATCGAGGCTCAACGAACACAAGCACTAGAAAGCTAAACTCACAACTACACCTCCCTAGTTTTAAAATTCTACAGCCTCGAGATTTCACTTGGTAGGCGCACGTCCTTGTTACCTCAGCGCAAGTAGACTGCCATAACATCTGCCACTCCAACATTGCCTAAAATCAAAATACATACATACATACATGGGAGTTAGTGGGTGTTAGGCTGAAGTGGAGGAGGGGAGGAAAGAAGACAAGGGGACTTCATTATCTTCTTTCGGCTTATTGCATACTCGTTATAAACATACTCTCTAAACCGCTTCCCAGAATTAATTGCGACTACCATGGTTCAAGGAAATACGTAAAGCCAGCCGCGCCCAAAAAATGCACCTGCAGCACAGGGTATTTGATCAGGTAACAACAACTTCCCAGCCTTGCTATAACAAATGTATGGACACAAGAAAGGAGAATTTTCATCTTAATATTGGGGACTATTAAAAATGGTTTGAATGTTTGTCTTTACGGCCACTATCACCTCCCTTCGCCTTCAGCATTAACATTTCCAGTGCCCTTGCATGACACGGCGCGGGCAAAGAATAATAATAAGAGAAGTCGTCTGTTTGTTCGCTCGTATTTTCTACTCACTGTAAGTGTTCCAATTGGTGTAAACAGTTTTCTTGCTGTACAGTATAATATTCTTGCGAGGCAAGAAACGTGTTTCCCAAGTGCAGACAGGTCCAGAAACCAACATCCACCCGGCATCAGCACTACATCCCCCATAGTTCCTGTTGATGAAGAAGTGGCGATAATCTTTTGGCTTTCCAACGATAGAAAAGTAATTCTTTGGCTCACTCTTGATATCAGACCAGGGGCTCTGACTCAATCTGGACAATGAAAACCAGTTGAGTTTGTCCGATCCCTTAGCATTGAATTTCAGCTCCTTCATCAGCTTTCCTCCTTTATAGAGAACAACTCTTGCCTTAAAGAAATTACAAACAAACGGGAAGATTTATTGAAACGACTGGCGTGAGCGAAATAATGGGACTTGTAGTAAGTCCATTTCGAGACTACTAGCAACACAATAAAATAAAATGAACAAGGATTTTTACTCAACTTTAGGTTACTAACGGTACGGTGCTGTTTGTCAGAAAAATGCTTCATGAAATATATACACGAAGAAAAAGAAAAACATTAAAATTCAATAAGTCAGAGTAGTTTTTAGAATTGAAGTGTTTCTTAGTAATGGTCAAAACTTTCCAGTAATGAGGCCTTCCAAGGAGTAGAAGCGATAAACGAAATGGCCCCCGAAAACTGGCATCAATCCTCTCAGAAAGCACAAACAATCGTCAAGAAGGAGGGGAAAGAAAATTCTAATGTGAACGACAAATTTCCATTTTTAAGAATTAACAAGTGACATCTCAGTGTTCACTTTAACACTTTGGCTGTTTCCGCAGCTAAATAAAAAAATATCTTCCGTTACTTTAACCATTTTATCCTATTTTCTTTGGAACATTAATTTTCTTTTGATGGTATATTGTTCAAGAACGGTACCTCAAAGCTCCTCAAGGGAAAGGTAAATAAAAATGGATTCTTTCCAGGCGCTATATCTGCCGTAAATAGCAATAAATTTATGGATCTTTATGCTGAACTGGCAGCGACAGGAGCACTAAAATTAATCTTAAGTACATGTGTGGACTTAATAAATTTATGAAAACGTGTAAAATAACATAAATGTGAATGTAAATGTTGATGGAAATGATTTGTACAATTGATCTCTTGGGTTCGGTGTGTTTTAATACTAGTTTTAATGACAAGAATTTTAAAGAACTTGGGTACACTTACAATGAATTCCGAGTCTGGATTTACCGAGAAATTAAATTCTCACCTTTGATTCCAATTATAAAAGGGAAAAAGCCCTACATTAAATAGCTTGATTTACAGGTTATGCATACCTTTAAAAATTTGACATGTACATAAGTCACATAATGTAAGCAAAAATAAACTGAGAAAGTAAAACTTTGTGTTGAAGGTTAGCAAGCACTATTCATTTATACCGCTGAAAGCTTTTTGCCACTTAATAATGCAAAAAGTCAAAGTCCGTTACTCACCACATACCCGGGGGTATAATTTTAATGACCACAGGCATCCCAAGCTCACATTATGAGAGTGAAATGTAATTTACTTTCTCACAAGAGAGTCGATGTCACGTTACAGGTGACCATTGACATGTTGTCTGAGAAGGGTACAAAAGTTTTTTTATAGGACATTAAGAAAGGGAGGACATAAACAGTATGCAGTTACAAGTCCATACAACAAGAACAAATTATTGATTTTCTTAATACTCTCTATATACTAAATGTATAAGACAAAGTAAGTCTCTTTTATCTATTTTATAGAAAAAAAAAAAGAAAAAAAGGGATTATAACGATATTAAGTGTTCCCAGACCTCAAAATTTTTATTTAATAAAATTATAATTTTTTTTTGATAAATGAATAAAGGAAATTTATAATTACTCCACAATCTTCTTGTGAATTAAGCTACAGGGTTCAACAGAGCCAAAACGTTGACTAAATCAAAGAATTCACACCAAAAAACACAGGAATACATCAAAGGTAAGTCTTCTTTATTTACATTTTAAGGTAAAATATCATGTATATTTACTGTTTGTAAATCTCAGCATTTAATTTCTCATACAATGTGTCAGTGGTCTCCTGTAACGTGACACCGACTCTCTTGTGAGAAAGCAAATTACATGTGAGATTGGGATGCCTGGGTGTAATGAAAAAAAAAAATATATATATATATATATATATATATAGTTTATGCACTTATCCTAGGAGTGCTATCAATTGCATGAAAATACAGAGTGAAATAGAGAAGATGAAGATTAGTTTCATAGCACTTTAAGACCATTGCCTAAGTGTACTGTGTGAAACTCTGAGTTACATTAACTTAATTTTCATCCTTTGCATTTGTAATTTTAATCACATAGATGTATTTTATTAGTAGCACTAAACAAATTTTACCTCTGATGCTCCAAAATCTTTCCACTTCAAAACAATCCTGTTCTTGTAGTCATTAAAGTAACTGTTAGTGACGTCAAGAGCTGCAAGCACTTTCTCATGGTACGTCTGACCAGAGGTGTATGTACTATACACATTTTCTTTCACTCCAGACACAGCCTTAAATACCATGGTCCAGCCTAAAAGTAGTTGACAAATTTAGATACACACTATTGCATTCCAAGAATCAATAAAAATAGAATCATATAGTACACAATAATTTAATTTACCCATCCACAATTATTGTGGTGACTGAAAGCAAGTGCTGGCATTGAACGTGGCAAAGCCGTAATAAAAAGAGTTTAAAAAAATTGAAGTTGTGTGAAGAATAAGATCACAGGAGCTAGAAAAGAGTACTTTTCCACTGGCTGAGTGTAACGAAATGAGTGGAAAATGTTTTTCTTGCACACCACTGGGGGCATTATCATTGCAGGGTATTGTTCCATGTAATGGAGAGTAAAATGTGTTGTGGTGGCTACAGATTCTTTGTAATAGTGATGTTGAGTATACCCATACCATGCATCAACTATAGCTGAGAATACTTCATAGTGACCAGTTATAGAAGGATCTCCTCTGGGGTTAAAATGACATGATGTTATGATCTCCGAAGTGCTCACCGACAACCTTTTGGTCTAATGTAAGGGTCCAGACAGAGCCTCCAGTAGGTTAAGACA